TATGGTAGAGCGCTCGCTTTGCATGTGAGAGGTACGGGAATCGATACCCTGCATCTCCAATTGCCTATATAATTTGAAAGCTTTACATGAGTGCAAATTTGATTCAAAAACATCCTGTGTTGCCTATGAAATTTGAAAGCTTTAACATGAGTGCAAATTTGTTACAAAAACATCTCAAATACCGATGTGACCTGCATGCTTTATACACGGTTCAAAAATGTCAAGTGTGAAATCAAATCGTATAATTTCGTGAATTATAAATGCTTTTCGTTTTCTAAAATATAGACATTTAATAATGTATTTACCACTACGGGCATGTAGCTCAGATGGTAGAGCTCTCGCTTAGCATGTGAGAGTTACGGGGACTTCCATGCATTTCCAATTATTTATATTATTTGCAAGCTTTAAACTAGTGCAAATTTGTTTCAAATAGTATAATATTTTAATTTTCAAGTGCTTTTTGCTTTTAAGATTAGAGATATTAAAAAAAAAAAAAAAACAATATTAATTATGGGGATGTAGCTCACATGGTAGAGCGCTCGCTTCGCATGCGAGAGGTACGGGGATCGATACCCTGCATCTCCAATTGCCTATTTAATTTGAAAGCTTTACATGAGTGCAAATTTGTTTCAAAAATATCCAGTGTTGACTATGTAATTTGAAAGCTTTAACATGAGTGCAAATTTGTTACAAAAACATCTCAAATTCCGATATGACCTGCAAGCTTTATTCCGAGAGGTACGGGTATCGATAACCCGCATCTCCAACACCAATAAAATTCTATACTATTTTAATTTTCAAAGTTGAGTGCCGAATCAAATCATAATATATTATTATTTTTAAATGCATTTACTTATCTGAATTATAGATATTTAATGATATAATTTAAATTATGGGGATGTAGCTCAGATGGTAGAGCGCTCGCTTAGCATGCGAGAGGTACGGGGATCGATACCTTGCATCTCCAATTGTCTAAAATGTATTTTCAAAGCTTTACATCAGTGCAAATTTGTTTCAAAAATATGGTAGGGTTGCCTATGTAATTTGATAGCTTTAACATGAGTGCAAATTTGTTACAAAAACATCTCAAATTCCGATGTGACCTGCAAGCTTTATACACGGTTCAAAAATATCGAGTGTGAAATCAAATCGTATAATTTCGTGAATTATAAATGCTTTTTGTTTTCTAAACTATAGACATTTAATAATGCATTTACCACTACGGGCATATAGCTCAGATGGTAGAGCTCTCGCTTAGCATGTGAGAGTTACGGGGACTTCCATGCATTTCCAATTGTTTATATAATTTGCAAGCTTTACACTAGTGCAAATTTGTTTCAAAAATGTCGAGTGTTTAATCAAATGGTATAGTATTTTAATTTTCAAATGCTTTTAGATTTCTAGATTAGAGATATTTGAAAAAAAACATTATTAATTATGGGGATGTAGCTCATATGGTAGAGCGCTCGTTTCGCAAGCGAGTGGTACGGGTATCGATAACCCGCATCTCCAACTCCTATGTACGTTGCAAATTTGTTACGGAATGTCGAGTTCTGAATAAAATCCTATACTATTTTAATTTTCGAAGTTGAGTGTTGAATCAAATCGTAAAATATTGTTGTTTTTAAATGCTTTTAGTTTTATGAATTATAGATATTTAATGAAACAATTTAAATTATGGGGATGTAGCTGAGATGGTAGAGCGCTCGCTTAGCATGCAAGAGGTACGGGTATCGATACCCTGCATCTCCAATTGTCTAAAATGTAATTTCAAAGCTTTAACATGAGTGCAAATTTGTTACAAAAATGTTGAGCATTGAATCGAATTCAATGTAAACTGCAAGATTAATTCTTGAATGATAAATGCTTTTTGTTTTCTAGACAATATATATTTAATAAAGTATTTACCATTATGGGGATGTAGCTCAGATGGTAGAGCGCTCGCTTAGCATGTGAGAATTACGGGGACTTCCTTGCATTTCCAATTGTCTATGTTATTTGCAAGTTTTACACTAGTGCAAATTTGTTTCAAAAATGCCGAGTGTAATATCAAATTGTATAATTTTTTAAATTTTGAAATGCTTTTTGCTATATAGATTAGGGATATTTAAAAAACCATTTTTTATTATGGGGATGTAGCTCATATGGTAGAGCGCTCGCTTTGCATGTGAGAGGTATGGGGATCGATACCCCGCATTTCCAATTGCCTATATAATTTGAAAGCTTTACTTTAGTGAAAATTTGATTCAAAAATATCCTGTGTTGCCTATGTAATTTGAAAGTGCAAATTTGTTACAAAAACATCTCAAATACCGATGTGACCTGCAAGCTTTATACACGGTTCAAAAATGTCGAGTGTGAAATCAAATCGTATAATTTCGTGAATTATAAATGCTTTTTGTTTTCTAAACTATAGACATTTAATAATGTATTTACCGCTACGGGCATGTAGCTCAGATGGTAGAGCTCTCGCTTAGCATGTGAGAGTTACGGGGACTTCCATGCCTTTCCAATTGTTTATATTATTTGCAAGCTTTAAACTAGTGCAAATTTGTTTCAAAAATGTCGAGTGTTTAATCAAATTGTATAATATTTTAATTTTCAAATGCTTTTTGCTTTCAAGATTAGAGATATTTAAAAAAAAATTATTAATTATGGGGATGTAGCTCATATGGTAGAGCGCTCGCTTCGCATGCGAGAGGTATGGGTATCGATACCCCGCATCTCCAACTCCTATGTACGTTGCAAATTTGTTACGGAATGTCGAGTTCTGAATAAAATCCTATACTATATTAATTTTCAAAGTTGAGTGCCCAATTGAATCGTAAAATATTATAATTTTTAAATGCTTTTAGTTTTCTGAATTATAGATATTTAATGATACAATTTTAATTATGGGGATGTAGCTTAGATGGTAGAGTGCTCGCTTAGTATGCGAGAGGTACGGGGATCGATACCTCGCATCTCCAATTGTCTAAAATATATTTTCAAAGCTTAACATGAGTGCAAATTTGTTACAGTAATGTTGAGCGTTGAATCGAATTCAATGTAACCTGCAAGATTTATACACGGTTTGAAAATGTTGAGTGTGATATTTTTAAGGATAAATGCTTTTTGTTTTCTAAACTATATATATTTAATAAAGTATTGTTTTCTAAACTATATATATTTAATAAAGTATTACCATTATGGGGATGTAGCTCAAATGGTAGAGCGCTCGCTTAGCGTGTGAGAATTACGAAAACGCCGAGTGTATAATCAAAATGAATAATTTTTTAAATTTTGAAATGCTTTTTGCTTTATAGATTAGGGATATTTAAAAAACCATTTATCATTATGACGATGTAGCTCATATGATAGAGCGCTCGCTTTGCATGCGAGAGGTACGGGGATCAATACCCTGCATCTCTAATTCTTATTTAGTCTGCAAACATTACACCCTTCAAATTTGAGATGAAAATGTCAAGTTCTTAATAAAATCCTATACTATTTTAATTTTCAAAGTTGAGTGTCGAATCAATCGTATCATACTCTTATTTTTAAATACTTATTCTTTTCTAAATTATAGATATTTAATGAAGCAATTTGCATTATGGGGATGTAGCTTAAATGGTAGAGCGCTCGCTTAGCATGCGAGAGGTATGGGGATCAATACCTCGCATCTCCAATTGCCTATATAAGTTGAAAGATTTACATGAGTGCAAATTTGTTTAAAAAATATGTAGTTTTGCCTATGTAATTTGAAAGCTTTAACATGAGTAGAGTGCAAAAAAACATTATAAATGCTTTTTGTTTTCTAAACTATAGACATTTAATAATGTATTTACCACTACGGGCATATAGCTCAGATGGTAGAGCTCTCGCTTAGCATGTGAGAGTTACGGGGACTTCCATGCATTTCCAATTGTTTATATTATTTGCAAGCTTTACACTAGTGCGAAATTTGTTTAAAAAATGTCGAGTGTTTAATCAAATTGTATAATATTTTAATTTTCAAATCTTTTTTGCTCATATGGTAGAGCGCTCGCTTCGCATGCGAGAGGTACAGGTATCGATAACCCGCATCTCCAACTCCTATGTACGTTGCAAATTTGTTACGGAATGTCGGATGGTTAGGCTCGTAGAATCTTGAGATTAATTTCTTTTTGGCTAATCTCTTTGTCAAGATCATTAATCTCTCCAAGAATTTTAATCATTCTTGCTTCCATATCAACAATGCTTTCACTTGATAGCATTTTGAAATCTTCGTACTTCTTCATGGCTATCGTGAGCTTTTTTTCTTTTTCTTGTTTATCGCCTTCACCGATCTTGATGAGAGTATCCCAAATTTCTTTCGCGGTTGTGCATTTTCGAATTTTTGGGAATATTGTATCATCAACGGTTTTGAATAGAATATCTTTGGCAGTGTTGTCATGATTATTTCTTTCTCTATCGTCTGATGACCATTCCGGTTTCGGCTTTGGTACATATTGTTGAGCATCGGATGATAGAAGAAATGCCGTGTTGACTTTCAATATTTCTATCGGTCCATTAGAAATGACTTCCCACATTTCATCGTGTAAGGCCGATATATGAGCCTGCATACGAACTTTCCAATCATCAAATTTATCAAGTGAGAATAATAAATTCTATGCCAAATCTTTATTCATTTTCAAATGGGAAAAGAATAATACAATCCAATCACACACTGGTAAAATGGATCTGTCTAACAGTCAGAAACAAGGTTGACCCAAATAGGCAACTTGCTTTGAAACAAATTGACCCAAATAGACAACCTGCTCTGATACCAATTGTTGGTCCCAAAGGGGGTGTGGTAAAAGTGTAGAGGGGGGGGGGGGGGGGGTGAATAGACTTTTAAACTTTTTCGCGAATGCAACAATTGCTTAGGCAACAGAGAGATCAAAACTCTTAACTAGATTGTTAGAGTCTTGTACGCAGCGGAATAAATAAATACGAGTTGTGTTTTTTTTTTTTTTTTTTAAACCAAAGAAAACAATTCATTAATAGCTCAGAAGAGCGGCAATACACGAAGGCGGGTTAACCAACCACGACCCTAGGACAGACGAAGAATCTGTCGCCCGCGCAAGAACGTGAGCTACATGATTCGTTGACCTCTTGACATGGCGAACCTGAACGGTCCCAATGTCATTAGCAATTTGAAAACATTGCTTTACAATTGACCCAACATACGAAAAATCAGAATGACCAGAATTAAAAGCTGAAATAAACAATAAACAATCGGTCTCTAAAATGATATTATTAAGACCTATACTTCGTAACCAATCCAGCGCTTGTGCAATCGCCGAGGCCTTAGCTAGTAACGGATCTTGAATACTTCCAAGCCTGCCACCTTTGGCCGCCATGAAGTTACCATCCTGATTACTAACCACGGCTCCAAAGCCTGCCCCAGTAGCGAAGAGAGCTGCATCCACATTACATTTCAACCAATTAGCTGGCGGTGGAGTCCAGATAGCGCTAGATGCTGTAGAAGATGATGCCTCCCCAGGTGTTCGCATGATAGAGGACCAAAGAGCCTGTAGAGAGTGTACCTGGATTAGTAATGACTCGGATGAAATAGAAGTGTCTCGCCAGATTTTATCATTCCTAGCCTTCCACAGAACCCAGAAAATGGCTGCTGCGCGAATGATCTGATGTGTTGGTGCGCTCTTAATGAGTACGTCCAAGAACTCCAAAATAGAGCCGCCCCGTAGAACATTAACGTTCTCCCAGAGACGCGTCGCTACCATGCATTCGCAAAACACATGCTCCGCCGTTTCCACCTGGTACCCGCAGTGCGCACACCCCCCGCCAACCCGCACATGTCGTTGCTTTAGGACTTCCTTTACTGCAACGATGCCCCTAATGCAACGCCATAGAAGGTTATTCACTTTCGGAGGAACGGGTAGCTTCCACAGCCGGTCCCACGCCGTGAACCTGTCGTTCCAGCCATCTAATGTATCGCTATCCGTCAACAATTTGTAGCCGTGTCGGGCTGTGTACGTGCCCCTCGTGTCACCAAGCCACCGCCAAGAATCCGGTAGCGTGGGAGATAGAGGAGTGGCTAGAATCCGAGGCACATCTTCCGGACTAAAGAGATCATGTAGAAAACCTACGTCCCATGTGCCTTGAGGCGTAAGCAGACTTGCGACTGGCGCATCCCTCAAATAATCGATGCATGGCGTAGTCAGACGGGGTTGTACCGTATCGGCAAGCCACGGCCATTCCCAAATCTTCGATCCCTCACCATTGCCAATGCGTCTTGCGGCACCCTGTTTGAGCAAATCTTGGCCCGCCATTATACTCCTCCACAGGTAACTCGGGTTGTGGCCCATTTGAGCGTTCAAAAAGGAATCATTGGGATAGTATTTTGCACGTAAGAGACGACTTACAAGCGAGTTCGGATAGATCAATAGGCGCCACCCCTGCTTTGCAAGCAGAGAAATATTGAACTCGTGTAGTCGTTTGAATCCAAGGCCGCCCTTGGCCTTCGGTAAGCAAAGTCGGGGCCAGCTAAGCCAGTGGATACCCCTACTGGTCGACCCGCCTCCACCACCCCACCAGAAGCGGTTGAATAAGCGTTCCAAAGTATCACAAAGCCGTTGCGGTAAGTAGAACACCGACATTGTGAATATGGGTAAGGCTTGGGCAATGCTCTTCAATAGAACTTCTTTGCCTGCCCGTGACAGCAACCTTTGTTGCCAACCTCCAATCCGCTCCCGAATTCTCTGTTCAATATAGCAGAAAGTAGCCGACTTGTTACGACCCAAGATCGAAGGTAGACCTAGGTAACGCCCCAAATCATTGCATTCTCGAACTGCCACAAACTCCGTCACACTAGAACGGGCTTCCGGAGTGGTATTGACGCTGAAAATAATACTTGATTTTTCATAATTGATTACCTGGCATGATGCAGCACTGTAGGTGTCGAGGCAGTTCCTGATTGTCTGAGCTTCCGTACTCGTGGCCCTAAAGAATAGAAGACTATCGTCGGCGAAGAACAAATGTGTCACCGCCGGCGCTCCCTGAGCAATACGAATACCATGAATGTCACCTTGCCTCTCATCCTGTTGCAACAACATAGACAGTCCCTCAGCACAAAGGATGAACAGATATGGAGATATGGGATCTCCCTGCCGAATGCCACGTGTCGGGGAAATAGTACCCACAATCTCGCCATTTACCTGGATATTATAGACCACTAATTTGACTCCCATCATGAGTAGGTGAGTCCAATTTCTGTCAAAACCCAATGCCGTGAGCATACCTTCCAGGAATCCCCATTCCATTCGATCGTAGGCCTTGGCCATATCGAGTTTCAACGCGGTCCAACCCATAGCCCCACTGGTCTTCCTCTTCAGATAGTGACCCACCTCCCCGGCAACAATAATATTATCAGTCAGTAGACGGTCGGGGACAAAAGCACTTTGCGACTCCGACACCACGCTGTGAAGTAAGCTTTTCATACGATTTGCTAAAGCTTTGGCAAGAACCTTGTACACTACATTGCAAAGGGCGATTGGACGAAGATCAGAGACTTTCTCGGGGCACTTTTTCTTTGGGATAAGGACAATGATCGAGTCATTCAGACCCGGTGGTAGTGTTCGATCCAACAAACAGTGAGTGATAAAAATAAACAAATCATGACCCAAAATAGGCCAGAAATGCTGATAGAAAGCGGGTGCCATACCGTCTGGACCCGGCGCCTTTTCCGGTGTCATTGAAAACAAAGCTTCTTTAATTTCCATGATGGTAAAGGGCAGCGCTAGTGTAGCGTTCATCTCAGGTGAGACTCGACTCGGGACGTGGTTAAAAATGTCAGCATTGATGCCTGTAGACTGAAAAATGTCTGAATAATAACGCATCACTTCACCATTTAAGTTCGTGCCATCAAGCCACTGACCCTCAGGGTTCTTAATGCGGTGCAAATGATTCCTGCGATGTCTGGCTGAGGCCGATTTGTGGAAATATTTCGTATTAAGGTCTCCGTGCTTGAGCCAAAGTTGTTTTGCCCGTTGCTTCCAGTAGACTTCTTCTTGTCGTAGCAACCCCTGTAGTGTCCCCTCAGCTTCAATATAATCTGCCACGTCCTGTTGTTGCCGCGAGTCTCTCAATTTTTCCAATCTGCTCCTAAGGAATTTGATTTGTTTACCATTGCGCCGAAAATAATCATCCCCCCATTTGCCCAGATAACGACCACACTCCGTGATCCGCTCTTGAAAATCCATTCCCAACGTTGATCGCCATACTTGATCCACTGCCTTGTGACAACCCTCATCTTGTAACCAAGCAGATTCAAATCTAAACCGTTTCTTCGCTCGACGGAAGGTTCTTGATTCCACATCAAGAAGGATGGCGTTGTGATCAGATTCCATTGTGAGTAAGTTGCGAACAATAGCCGAATCATAAATGTCGATCCATTCGTGAGTAGCCATTGCTCTGTCGAGGCGTTCTTCGACCCATGCATCTGTACCGCGCCCTTTTTCCCAAGTGAACCGACTTCCCTCCATGCCCAAATCAAATAACTGACAATCCATAAACGCATCATTAAAACCCTCAATGAGATTCGTGGGTTGAGAATGAGGCCCCCGTTTCTCTGACTGGCATGTGATATCGTTAAAGTCTCCTATGGTGACCCATGGCAGAATTGATCGATCTCTGAGCTCGCGAAGGAGGTCCCAAGATTCTTGTCGTCTATTTTGGTCCGATTCCCCGTAGAAACAAGTTAGGCGCCATTCTGGAGTCTCCGGTAAAGAAATACTTACATCGATGTGATTTGCAGAATAAGAGAGTAATGTGGCCATAGCCGCATCCCTCCAAAACAGAGCTAAACCACCTCCCATGCCATTTCGTTCCACGCATAGCAGGCCTTCAAATCCCATGCGTAGTTTTATTCGTTCCACATGTGTCTTCATAGCTTTCGTTTCCATAAGGAAAACGAAGCTGGGTTGCTGGCTGGATACGAGACCCAGCAATTCCTGAACTGTCCGGTCGCCCCCCAACCCCCGGCAGTTCCAGCTCAAGATGCTCATTGCGTGGGGCGAGCCTAGACTGCTAGACCTGCCGGACTCGAGTTTTTTGAGTGATCGATCATGACTACATCCCCTTCCTCGTTACCCTCCCTTCGTCGCTTCAGATCACCGTGCAAGCCACTCGCAGCTTCCATCGTCGCCACTTCCTGAATAACCGAGCTCGAAGGCTGGGTTGGCGCCGGCGGCATATTCGGGAGATCTTGCAGTAACCACTTCGCACCGATTGGCCGCACCTGGCGTCGAGCTCCGACTCGCATCCATGCTCCATAGGGATAAGCATCCGGTTCCAGCCCCTCATCATAGGCATTTTTGCAGTACTTTTCGGCATGCCCCAAGACCCCGCAACAGAAGCAAAATGTGCCAAGGCGTTCATATTTGAAGTTTACCCAGTGCACCGATCCATCCTTGTGGATTAGACGCATTCTGCGTTTCAGAGGTTGCAGAACGTCAATCTGAACCCGAATTCGGAAAAAGCTACGCCAATTACTCCCAAAGTTGTAAGGATCAGCCGCTTTGAAGGAGCCAATGTAGTTACCGATGCGGGATATAAAATCTGTAGAGGCAAACACTGAAGGCAAATCGTGTACCTGAACCCATAAATCCACAAAGCCAAGGTTGACATCCGATGGATTCATTCCGATCGGTACCTTGTCGAAAACCAGAGTATGGTTCTCGAAAGTCTAGGGACCATCGTCAGAGATGCGATGCATATCCTTCAGGTGCGGAAACTGGAACAGAAATAGATTCTCCTCGATCGGGAGAATGCGCATGCCCATGACTGGCCTCCAGACCGAAGCCAAGACCTGCTGCATGTGTTCATGCTTGATCGGCCGATCAGTCAAGAACCGCCCCACCATCTCATGGTGGTAAATCTCCGGGGTTGCATGCTCTCCTTCAGGAGCCTCCAACCCGCCTGCTTCCTCCTCCGACAGCTTCATTATCGCACAAGCCTCCACAATCTCTTGAGTGTCCATGGTGGGCCAAAGTAGATCAACCGGTTGACAGGCAAGGTGATCGGATGAGAAACGGAAATTTCTGGAGTTTCAAACAATAACAGTATGGCTGGCCGAATCGGGTACAGCAACTCGATCGTAGCCCGTACCTTGCGTAACACGATCGCGAACAGATCGTAACCGGCGTTGATCAGGGACGGCACCTTGCGCAGGCCGATCGTAGAACAGATTGTAAACTGCGTAGATCGCAAAACGATCGTAAAGAAGATCGTAGATCACCGTGAGTGTGAATCGATCGGAGAGATGACCGTGAATAATATGAAAAAACAATATGATGCAAAGCGATGGAATGATGCGATCGAAGACTGGTGCGATCGCATATGTAAATAACATGTAGAGCAGGACGTGGGAATAGACATCGTGGGAGAGGAAAGAACGCCATATTGGGAAATAATCAGCCATAATGGGGTAGTTGACCCTAGAAAACTAGGGAGAAAACTCTCTAAGGGAAACTCAGAGAGAGGCCACTTCTCTTCGGTATACTGAGAGTTGATTTCATATCTATGGTAAATACGAGTTGTGTGATTGTGTCAAGTATATCAACGTGATAAGAAGTAAGTAAATAAAGCAGTAAATGACAAAAGGCAATTTATAGTGGTTCGGAGGTGATGTAATCCTCCTACTCCACTTGCTCTTATCGTCCAAGAGTAATTCACTATATCCACCACTTCTTGGTTCCTAGATACAATGAATTTCCGTGATCTAGTGCTTTGATCACTAAGCCCACACTAATCACGCCCAGTGCCTCCAACACTGCTGCTTTGGATTTCACAGCTCCGTGCTACTTTCTAGGATTTCACAGCTCCGTGTTACTTTCCCCCCGTCTTCCACGATCCGGTCGACCTATCCCGTGAACTGGTGCTTTGATCACCAAGCCCACACCAATCACGCCCAGTGCCTCCGACACTGCTGTTTCGGATCTCACAGCTCTGTGTAACAATCCAGGATTTCACAACTCCATGCTACTTTCCCCCCATCTTCGACGTATCCCGTGATCTAGTGCTTTGATCACAAAGCCCGCACTAATCACGTCCAGTGTTCTCCAACACTGTTGATTCACTTGTTTGTAGAAAAACAAGTTTCACTGACTTTCCAACTTTGAGACTTCTTGAATGGATCTTCAATATGCAGCAAGTCTCTCAATGATGAAGAATTAAACACTCTTGAATATTTTCTCTTTGAGCTCTCTGAGTGTTTTTCTCACTTGAATATATTCTCACTTGTAAGCTTTTTCAAGCAGATTGGATTCGTATGTGTTAGTATGACTAGTATTTTGTAATTATTATTTTATAATATATAGTCATAGGTTAGTGGTGGTAGATTGTTTGACTTAGCTTTTCTATTAGTTAGGATTAGTTAGAGTTTAGTTCTACGATATACTTTGTAATCCTATCTTCTTGTTACAATTGAATTGAGGTGAATTCTCTAATCTGGTATCAGACACAGGTTATCCAATCCTCTCCAACCTCCACCACAAAATTCTCCCCCTCTCACCCTCTTTCGTCGGCGACAACACTGTCGATGTCGACATCCTCGGAACGCACTGCCTCTGCCGCCGGAAATTCATCGCCGGCCGTCGAAAATTCTCTGTCCGGTGCGCATCACTATATCACGATGAAGCTAACCCTCAAAAACTATCTCTTCTGGAGGATGCAGCTCCTCTTTTTCCTCCGCGGCCAGGATCTCCTGGGGTTCGTGGACGGGAGTTATCCGTGCCCCCCGGCCACCGTTCTCGGCACTTCGTCAACCGGCGACTCGGCAACCACCTCGACCGCTGCAGTAGCGGTCGCCAATCCGGCGTACCACGCCTAAGTCAAGCAGGATCAGACCATTTTGTCTCTTCTGGTCTTGTCCATGGCCGATGAGGTGCTTCATCTTGCGCTAGGACGGGATACGTCGGCTGCCATATGGACCTCCATCACCGGCGCGCTCGGATCCTGTAGTCAGGCACGCTGTCTCACATTGTTGAGCCAGTTTCAGATGTTGCGTCAAGGCAATGCCACAACCGCTGATTACCTCAGGCGAGCTGGCGTCCTAGTTGAAGCTCTTATTCAGGTCGGTCGACCGCTCACGTTGATGGAGCAGAATTTGTATGTTATTAGGGGCTTGCGACCGGAGCTGAAGGCACTGGCGACATCCTTAACGGCGACTGGGGTGGCGGTAACACTGACGCATCTCTCTGATTTCTTACAGGCTCACGAGTTTATTCTCGTTGACGATTATCCGTCACTCGATGCCGGCATTTCCCATACTGCCATGTACGCCGGAACTGGCCGAGGCTCGCAAGGTGGTGGCAGGCAGCAGCAGTTCTCGCAGCAGCAACGGGGTGGCCGCCCAGGCCGTGGTGGCCAACACCGGGGAGGCCGTGGTGGTCGCGGGGCGCCGAGGTGCCAAATCTGCCGTTCCCACGGACATTAGGTGATTTACTGTTATAAAAGGTATACAACGCAACCGCCGCAGCCTCAAGCGCATGTTGCAATGTCGGGCGACCCTCCGGCTTCTCCGTCGACTGTTCCGGGTGATGGGTGGTGCCCGGACACCGGGGCTACCGTGCATGCAACTCCGGACGCGAGTATGCTAAGCCAATCAGACGAGTATGGCGGATCAGACGTTCTCAGAGTGGGTAATGGGGCAGGTTTGTCTATTTCACGAATTGGTTGTGCAACTATCCCATCTTTGTCTAAGTCTTTGTGTTTGAATGATATTCTGCATGTCCCAAGTCTTTCTGTTCCGTTGCTTTCTGTCAATAAATTTGCAGTTGACAATAACGTTTTTTTTTTAATTTCATGCTAATTGCTTTATTGTGAAGGACTCCACAACCAAAACAATCCTTCTTAAAGGGCCAACTTCAGGCGGGTTGTACAAACTCCCGGTGTCAAGAAAAAATTTTGCGTTCGTCAGTTCCCGGGCCACTCCCACCACTTGGCATCACCGGCTAGGGCACCTGCACAAGCAAGTTCTAAATAAAATCCTACAAAAGTGCCCCGTCACGCTTAATAAAGCTGCATCAGTCGAGTCGTGTACTTCGTGCCACCTTGGAAAGTCGTCTAGATTCAAATTAGATAGCGTGCCCAATTCCACTGAAAATGTATTAGATTTAATCTTTACCGATATTTGGGGGCCTTCCCCTGTATTGTCTATTAGTGGTTTTCGCTATTTTTGTCTTTTTGTAGATGATTACTCCAGATTCTGCTGGTTTTATCCATTACGGGTAAAATCAGACATATATAAAGTGTTTGAGTCGTTTCGTGTCTTGGTAGAGCGACAGTTCTCGCGCTCTATCAAATCAATTAAATCTGACTTAGGGGGTGAGTACCGCAAACTACACACAATATTCCAATCAGTAGGGATAAATCACCGACAATCCTGCGCATATACACATGAACAAAACGACCGAGTAGAACGCCGCAATAGACATATTGTCGAAACAGGCTTAACTCTACTCGCCGAAGGAAAAGTACCCCACCAATATTGGGATTATGCTTTTGAAACAGCAAACACCTTAATCAATTATTTACCTTCATCAGCCATTAATTTTGAAAATCCATATACCCGTCTATATCATACATCACCCCCATACACCTTTCTTCGTGTCTTCGGGTGTCGGTGTTACCCATATCTAAGGCCATATAATCGGCACAAGATTGAGTATCGCTCCACCCCGTGTGTCTTCTTAGGTTACCCACCGTCCTTTAGGGGATATAGGTGCACTAATCTAACTAGCGGAAAGACTTACATCTGTACTCATGTCCGCTTTGACGAATCTATTTTTCCCTTTGTCACAGATTATTCAGCACAAGTGCCTTCCACACTGGCTTTACCCTGGGCATCGGCACCGATTATCTCACAGGGCCCGGATCCAACACCTGCACCGGTCCCGGTTGAGACACCGGCCCCTTCCGGTCCTGAGCCGATACCATTAGCCCGTGAATCACCACGGTTGGCTATAACACATACTGCTCTGGTAAGAACACGGAAACGACGTGCTCAGCCCCAAAGTCGTGATCATGTAATGCGACTTCGGCACATGACGAGGGGTACGGATGAGCCATTCCAGGCTTTAACCGCAGTTGCGGACCCCACGTGCTATTCACAAGCTGTGGGCCACGCACATTGGTGCGAGGCTATGGACCAGGAGTTCAATGCCTTACTTCATAACAACACCTGGCGACTAGTTCCACCTGAGCCGCACATGAACATCATTGGGTGCAAGTGGGTATTTCGCACAAAACGCACTGCTGATGGTTCTGTTAAGCGGTTAAAGCTTGACTAGTGGCGAAAGGGTTCAACCAGGTCGCAGGAGAAGATTTCTTTGACACATTTAGTCCAGTGGTCAAGCCGACCACAGTACAGATGCTTTTTTCTCTAGCTGTTTCCAACAGGTAGACTCTACGGCAGCTAGATGTGCACAATGCCTTCCTAAATGGGCATTTGGCCGAAACCATGTACATGAAGCAACCACCGGGGTACGAGGACCCTACAACACCTGTGCATGTGTGTCATCTTCAACGATCTATTTATGGCTTGAAACAGGCACCACGGGCTTGGTTCAAGCGTCTTCATGATTTTCTCTTGTCTACAGGTTTTAAGTCATCTAAAACCGACGTCTCCTTGTTTTATTATGCTGCTGGTGACTCACGTGTGTTTTTATTGGTCTACGTCAACGACATAATAATGATGGGTAATGATGCTAAACTAGTGACTACGCTTCTCCAACGTCTTTCCACTACGTTTAAGATTAGGGATCTAGGGTCTCCTGGATTCTTCTTGGGTATTGAGACGATTGTGTCAGGTGACGGGTTTATTCTATCTCAACATCGTTATATGACAGATCTCCTAGGACGATCAGGGATGTCCGATTGCAAACCTCTCATTACACCGGCTGCTGTCACTAAATTAGTAACACCGTCTGAGGGACTATTTGAGAACCCGATGCAGTATCGTCGTATTGTTGGAGCGCTACAGTACTTGACTATCACTAGGCCCGACTTGGCGTATGCAGTCAATCGGCTATGTCAGTTAATGCATTCACTGACGGTTGATCATTGGGCTCTTGTGAAACGGGTCCTGTGTTACATCAAGGGGACTCTCGACTTCGGCCTGCGTCTCGCACCATCTTCCTCGACCAGTATTCATGCCTTTTCTGACTCGGACTGGGCTGGCTGTCCAGTAGATAGAAAGAGCACCAGTGGTTTTGCGGTTTATCTAGGGACCAATCTCATTTCTTGGCTGTCCAAGAAGCAGCGCACTGTTGTCCACTGAGGCCGAGTACAAAGCTCTAGCGGATGTCTCTGCAGAGGTCACTTGGGTTGTGCCACTTTTATGGGAACTCGAGATGCACTTCGGATAGCCTTCGACGCTATGGTGCGACAACCTTGGAGCTACTTATCTTTGTGCTAATCCGGTTTTCCATGCACGCACTAAACATGTGGAAATCAACTATCATTTTATTCGGGACAAGGTTGCCTCAGGAGACTTCGTCGTCAATTACGTGTCTACTACGAATCAGTTAGCAGATATCTTCACCAAACCTCTTCCAGCGCCAAGGTTCGCGGCTTTACGGGACAAGCACAATGTTGTCTCTCTACAACCTTGTGCTTGAGGGGGTGTGTTAGTATGACTAGTATTTTGTAATTATTATTTTATAATATATAGTCATAGGTTAGTGGTGGTAGATTGTTTGACTTAACTTTTCTATTAGTTAGGATTAGTTAGAGTTTAGTTCTACGGTATACTCTGTAATCCTATCTTCTTGTTACAATTGAATTGAGGTGAATTCTCTAATCGTATGATCTCACGTTTTTGGTTCGTTGGAAGTTTTGTGGAAAGTGCTGTTGATCTGCTTCATTCTTCATCCTTTTATAGCTGGTCTTGAGAAGTTGTCCGTTGGAAAAAGACAATCTCAAATTTGAATTATAGATCTCAAATTTGAATTCCAAATCTCATATTTGAATTCTTGTAGCCTTTTGCAGAGAATCTGTAGCTTTCTCAGAAGATCATATTAAAAATGATATCTCTGATATTTTGGCCGTTGCATAGTATGTGGTCCATGTGAAGAGACTTAAAATATTTCTGACGCAGATCTTATCTTCACGTAAAGGGCTTTAAAATAATTCTGATGTAGATCATGCGCCTTCTGGGACTTTTATCTTCTGTGTATTTTATTCTCTCTGTATGGCTACTGATGAAGTGTTTCGGCCAATGAGATCTCTTGAAGTGTTTCGGCCAATGAGATCTCTTGATCTGGGTCTCATATTGATAGTGAGAATTCAATCCTTGATTGAAACTTCATCTCCAACTTCAGCTCTTACTATATATAGCTTTGGAACTTCATCTCCAATGGGTCTCATATTGATAGTGAGAATTCAATCCTTGATTGAAACTTCATCTCCAACTTCAGCTCTTACTATATATAGCTTTGGAACTTCATCTCCAACTTCAGCTCTTACTATATATAGCTTTGGAACTTCATCTCCAACTTTAGCACTTCCTTGATTGAAACTTCATCTCCAACTTCAGCTCTTACTATATGTAGCTTTGGAACTTCATCTTCAACTTCAGCCCTTACTATATATAGCTTGATGAGACTTCATCTTCATCTCTAACTTCAGCTCTTACTATATATAGCTTGATGAGACTTCATCTCCAATAGCTTTTAACCTCTTTTCAAACCTCAGCTCCAACCGCTGCTCTTACCTTGTGTCCAAGTTCTATTATTTAATTGAGACTTCATCCCCAATAGCTTAGCTCCAACCGCTACTCTTACCTTGACTCCAAATTCTATTATTTAATTGAGACTTCATCTCTAATAGCGGTTGCTGCTCTTACCTTGTCTCCAAGTTCTATTATTTAATTGATTTCGAAACCTCTACTCCAAGTTCACAACCTCAGCTCCTATTTAATATGTTCTAGGAAAATAAATTGACTCGTGAATTAATTTTAGACAAGTTCCTAATACGCATATTGCATTTTTAATTCTAGTCATTTTTCTCTTTTGTTATGCGTTTTACATGCTTGTCTTTTAATTCACATACTAATTACAATTTAAGATATCAAAAACAAATATAGACCACTTTAGGAAATTAACATAACTTGTACGATCATAATAAGGGAAAATACTTGATAATTTCGAAACAGTAGTTTTACAAAACAAAAAAGTTTCGAAAATCATAGGATCAGATTACCTCTTTTGCCTCTTATCACTTCTTCCGTTTTTCAGGACATCTTTGATGTGTTCCCTCATCTTGTACACATCATTCTTGATAAGCTCACAGAAGAATTCTCTGTTGACTTTTCTGGAAAGGTAATTTTCATATGCTTCTTTCAGAGTTGTTCCCGGTAGAACTCCAGCTTCGATCCATTCAATGCACTCATTGAAGCTTCTACCATAGCCAAGAGAATTTCCTGTGGTTCTAGTGAGTTTTTGCAAATCAAACCACATATCCATCTTCTTTCTCTTTTGCTGTTCTTCCTTATTCTTTTCATTCACCCAGTGAGCTACTTCAGCTGGGGATTGCTTCTTGATCATGGCAGGTGCGTTTTCTTTGGTCCATACGATAGATGGTATATCGGTTTTGGAACAATTGAACCAATCATCAGCTTTTCCTTTAGATGAACCTGCACCTAAACCATAGTTAGAAAATTGAGCAAAACCCAAACCACTTGGAGATGTTTGGCGTCCACGGCCTCGGCCTCGGCCACTTGGTGGTGTAGCTTGTGGTTGCCCAAAAAAATATTCTTGTTGTTGAGCCGCCATATGACTGAGATATTCTTCCCCCCTTTTGGCTTTATCAGCAAGGAAATTAAGAGCTCGGGTATCTCGGTCTTGGTTGGCTTTCACAATCTTGATTCCTTCACTGGCTACGTCAGAAGTATTCTGCAAGCTCAATTTCAAGTTGATTTATTCTTTGTTCTTGATCTTGTATGGCCTTCAGTTGCCTTATATGGCGTTCATAATTGATCTTTTCGGCTTCCTCCTTCTCTTTCTTTAAATTTTTGATCACTTCAATCAAACTGGCAGTGATGTCAGCCTTCAAACGACTTTCTGTTCTGTCGATCTTGGACTCCAAAGATATATGCTTTTCAAAGATCTGCGTGAAATTTGACCTTGCGTTGTCAAATTCTTGCATCGCCATATGTCCTTGATCCTTCAAAATAGTTCCGATCTTGTGGCAGATTGTATCTCCAGATTCGGATACTTTGGCAAACAAAGTTGTCAGAATATCATCTTCATCTTCTTCAGGCCGGTGGTGTGTTGTCCAGTTTAGATTATGCAAGGATCTGAGAAACTTCCTTCTTGAATCTGCTAGAACTGGAGTTTTCACAAGTTGTAAGCTTCTTCCTTCAGATGATTCGGCCATGGTGGTATTTTATTGACAACTGGCTCCTTTTTCAAGATTTTCTCCTTCTGTATTGACTTCCTCTTCTCCTTGATAATTGTCAATATCTTGAGAGAAACTTGGATTTGAGAGAATAGGCTGCTCAGACAATGGTCTGTCTTCTAGTGGGGATTGGAAGTTTGTAGTAGCTTTGACAGAGACATTTTGTATTGCCACTTCAATTAATTGTCCCCCCCCCCCCCCGGCCCAATTAATTGTCTATTCTCATTTAGAACTTCTTCTCTTACTGGTTCTCCAATCTCTTCTCTAATCTCATCTCCAACATCTTCTCTTATTTCTTCTCTAACCACGTCAACATCATCTCTGGTAGAGTCATTCAATTCGGTTTGTAGACCACCAACATTACTCAAAATTTGGTCATTATTTGTCTGTCTTTCGGCTTCAGTGACAGAAACATTGACCAAATTTAAATCACCAATCACAGCAGTAGTTTGGTCACCATCAGCAATATTTAACACGGGTGCACACACAGATATAATATCTTCTTCATTCCTTTCTCTTAATGCATCAAGAAGATTATCAGCAATATTAAGAGAAGGTTCACCTGGATTGTGATGAGTGTCCACAATAGATCTTTGCAGTGCAATCTGTAGCTGAGCTTCATTAATCTTTTCCAATTGAGCTGGTGAGATTTGAGTTGTGTTTTCTTCAGCCACAGCTGCAACAACTTTGCCTCTTGCAGTTTTCTCTTCAAGTTTTGATCTGTAAACTTGATTGATGTTCATTTTGAGTGCCTGAAGTATAGAATCTGTTCCGCACCACTCCAAGGTAAATTCTTCACTTCCTATCAATTCTGAAGTAGTCTTTTGGATGAATGAATGATATTTTTCAGTTCTCCAATTTATCCATTCTTGGACTCTGTACTTCTCGTTCATCAAATTTGGATCATCTTGGATAGTGTTGAACACTACCGGTCCGGCACTTGCTTCTCCTATTGATTGACTTGAAATTCTTCTTTGCAACTCATTAGAAACTCGCACTTCAACTCCTGCTAGTTCCATCCATGTTGTGTCATCAATGGGTTCAGTTGGCAATCCCAGATGGCACATATTTTGAGCTTCGTTCTCAATCACTCCTTGGAACGGTATAACTGCCATGTCTGTGCTCGTGGCTTCTTGATCTCTGATGGTTGGATTACTGGACCCCATAAAATTGCTTGCAGTTGATGCGACCCTGTTGCTTCTGATTTGAGATCCTTTTGATTGAGGTGTTTTTGTGCTTGCAGGGGTTCCTCCTTTGGATGCCTTTCTCTTCTGACTTTTCTTCCCATAGTCTGGTGAAAACTTCCAGAACAAATACCTATAGATTCCAACACTTTTGTGTTTTCTCAAAGGTATTCTCTTCTTCCTCAAGATTTCTCCAATGACAAGTCCATAGCCAACACCTTGAAGAAATTGATCTCCTATGAGTGGACTTCCAACTGGCTTTGCGGCAAGGATAAAGCCTATAATTTTGGTGAAAATGTAGTTCGCCCAATTGAACTTGATTCCACTCATGATTCCGTTCATCAAGCAAATATATGGAGCAGAGAATTTGTTCAAAGTTCCCAATTTATTGTCCAGGGCTTTGTAAATTACGTCCAACGGCATCTCATATTCAGGCTTCAAGAGATTTTTCTCATCGCATAAATCTGGTATTTCTGGTGCTTTTGGACCTTGGATTTCATCCCAGAAATTTTGAAGATCATAATGATGAGTATCCACAAGGATTTGAGAATTTGAAAAGTTGAAACAGCTTCTGATGTCTTCTTCTGAAATTTCAACTTGTGTTCCGCCAACAGTACATAGAATTTGGCCATTCTTCACGTTTGCATGTAGGTAGAATTCTACCACATCTTCTTCAAATGCTCCAGAATACTTGTAG